GGGGGGGAGGGTAGGGGGGGGGAAGGATGGGAGTAATAAAAGATATATGGATCGACAAAATAGTTGTAGATGGGAGTTTCGATCAGTGATTGGGTGGGGGGTACTAGTAGTGGAGGAAGACGAGTTCAAGTTAGATGGGTAAGTGGAGTAATTAGTGGGCTGGATGATTGGCGTTGCCGGGGGGAGGGATCGACGAGTGATTGGAACGCTCAGCGGATATCGGGAGTGCGAAGTACGAGGGAGACGTGTTTCGACCAGTGATCGGGTGGGATGCTCGGTGGTGAAAGATGTGGGAAGTGGGTGGTGAGGGGGGGAACAGATGTAAATCAGGGATGGATTGAATGCGGATCAGGGGAGGACTGGGTGAGATCGGACCGAGCTTGGGAGGAGATCGGGGTAAGGTCGCGGTGGGGTCGTCGTGGGGAAGAGTTCAATGTGAAACTAGAGTGAAGTAGATTACGGAGTGAAAGCAGGGGATAAAGGGTAGGACCTGGTGGGTAGCGGGGAGGAGACAGGATGGAGTCGTGGCCGGGTCGGGGTGGGAGTGATTCGTTATCGGTTTGGTGTTAAGATTGGGTAAGGTTTGGGCAGCGGATGGGGCCGGGGTGGTTCAAGGGTCAGTCGAAGTACTATCGGATTGAAGATGCGGAGGGGGTCAGGGTGACAACGAATCAGGGGCGGGGGGAATCGGGGGGGATCGAGTAGCAGGACTAAGCTCAAAGAAAGCGCGCGGCTTGGGCTGGTGAAGGGATCGGACTGGTGGGGCTCTGGGTGGGGGTCGGAGCAAGGTCGGAGATGGGTAAGGACGGGGGGGTAGAAGTAAGTGAAGGTCGGCAGTGAGGTGGGTTTGGGATTCGAGGTCAGAAAGAAGAGGGGGAGGAGAGGCGGGATAGGGGTCGGGATAGAGTTAGATAGTATGAGGTCGGGTTGGAGTCGGGAAGGGAACGGGCCGGAGACGAGTTGATTAGAATGGGGTCGGGATCGCGGTTGGGGGAAGATGAAGCTGTAGGGGGGAGGGTGGGGCCGGGATAGAAAAGCCGAGGGTGCGGGGTCGGGTTGCGGGGGTAGAAGCGGGGAGGGGATGGGTGGAAAACCAATCAAGATCAGGGAGAGGGGAGGGAATGTGGGGAGGTTAGAAGGATCGGGGGTTTGAGACGGTCTCAGGAGCGGTGAGAGGAAACGGGGCAATGGAGAGGTTGGGGGAGGGGGGGTGGTGTGGAGGGTTGGCGAGACAGATCAGTGATGTAATTGTGGTAGAAAGATCGGATCGGGGTCGGGGAGGGACGGGGTAGGATTGTTGTGTGTGTTATGTGGAAGCGAAATGGGGTAGGGGTAAAAGAAACGGGGTTGCGATTCAGGAGGAGAAGGTGGTGTGGGAGGAGGTGGGATGTGTGTGTGGCCAAGATGAATTCGTCAAGGGTTCGGGGTAGGGACGAGGAGAGCTCGAAAAGGAAGGAGAGGCGGGGATAGGGATGGAGTCAGCGTAGGGTAGATGTGTTGGCAGGAGGGGGACAAACTCGTATTGGGGTGAGCATGGTTCTAGCGTGGGAGTCGAAACGAAAGCGACGGGGAGGGCGGGCAGGTGGAGAAGAGGGTATGGGGAGAGAGGAGGGGGGAGGAGGTTGGACCGACGGTTAAACGTCTTGGGTATGAGGTAAAAATCAGAATTTGGACTATTAGGAGAGG